AGAGAGAGAGAGAGAGAGAGAGAGAGAGAGACTCAGCTTATGAGTCAGTCATCATTTTCTGGTCACCACCAATCCTGTCCCCCATGCCCTCTGACATGCCCAGATGGTTTGGGAGAGAGGCAGGGTCTTCACTCATTTCCATGGGTGCAGAGAAGGTTAAAAAGCAGCAGGAGTCCTGCCTGCTGTTTAGACACGACTCCTGCTGCTCTTTATCTGCTCAAAAACTGCAGGGGAAATTCAGTGTGATGCTATCAGAGGTCTGGAGACACTGATTAGTCAGCTACTAGATTTGTGGGTGCATGAGAAACTGTTGACAAAAGGAGACCACCAATGGCATTTTGTTGGGGGGGCTCATACTTGGAGCCACCCTTGACTTGTTTTTCATTGTTAATTGCCTTTGGCTATGGAGATTCTCTTTAAACATAGAAAGGCCTGGACTTCTCTCTAGTCCAAGGGTGGGGAACCAGGTGCTGTCAAGACCCCTAACTCACTTCTGCCCTAGACACCACGGCCATTGGTCAAGGATGATGGGAATTGCAATCCAGTAACATGCTGTGAGTCTTAGGTTCCCCACTCCTGATTTCATCTGTAACCTTTACATTTTTCCCTTAAAAATGTGGGCAACCTGATTTATAACAGTAGTAGTACTAAGTGCATCCTCAGGACTCCCACACCACATGCACTGCAATGAAGAATGAATTGAGGAAGCTGGAATTTTGGGTTATTTTTCTTGAATCGGAGGGTGCGAGGCAAAGCAAAGCTGTTAGGACACCAGAGACACTCCAACTATTTAATTTTCTGTGAGGGTGCAAGACTATTAGTGCCTGCAATCAGAAAACTAGACTGTCTGGGGCAATAAATGCTGGGGAGAGCAGAGGACTCCCACCCCGCCTCCAGGACCTGAAGTTGCCTCTGCATTTCACAAGCCCTCACTCAAGCACAAAAGGGAAGGCCACTTTCCTTAGAACAGGAATCAGGCATTTCTACATAGATGCAGAACCAGTTCCAAAAAGATGGACTTGCATTGGGCTTCATTCTCCCAATTTCAGCCAACACTAAAAAATTCAGCCACATACCAAAGTGACTGGCAGTGTAGCTAAAACAAAGCGTTGGTCCTCTTCACTTATATCCTCATGCTGCAATCTGCATCCCTCTGGAACAAGGAAATCAGCATTCCATGTTTATTCCCTCTGGGCTTTTCCATCAATATATCCAGGCCCTGACCTGGGGAAACCGTTCTCTGAGGGCAGAGGGGGAGTAAAATGCAGAAATCAGGGGTCACATCCATTCTCTCTTTTCTTTTTTACAGATTTGCCATCTGCCTGGTGGGAAGGAAAGCAAAACCCTAGGGAAGAACTGAGTAGTTGGAATCAAGAGAAGTTCTCAAAAGAAGCCATTTACTGTTTCCATATATAAAGCAACCCACTTGCTCTAGAGTAATGCCACCGTAACAGCAACAAAGCAAACGATTTTAGGATTTCAGCACCTGGCACCTCATGAACAGACCTTATAAAAATCCAAATTCCCACCCCAGAATCAACAGTGATTCACTTTAAACTTTTACACACATGCAACACAAGTTCATTTGCCCCTGCCGCCCTCCCTGCCAAGCTAAATTCCTTGTTGAGTTTATTTAAAGCACCTTCTGAACTTTATGTGTCCACTTCTGTTGAGGGTGGAATCCAAATGCACTTATTTGTGGGTAAACCCCAGGTTAACACAATAGCTTACTTCTGAGTAAACATGCATTGTAAGGCTGAAATTCTTTGCAAATGTACCTGAGAGTAAACACCACTAATCTCAGTGGAAGTTATTTCTGAGTAAATATGGACTGGGCTGTATAGGGAATCTGTGCCACCGAACTGAGTGGAACTCACACACAAAAAAACATGTGCTTGAAGCTTCTTCCAGACTATCAGTATTGACAAAGTGAGTAGGTTTTCTTCTGAACAGGAGTTCCTCATTTTAGCAGGATTACTCATGCTCAGATGCTTAGCATCTAGCCTTCCATCTGAAATGGAAGTGTGTTTGTGTGTGTACTTGATTTCCTTTATTTTGGAGTATCAGCTCACCAATCTCAAGCCTCTACCACAACATCAAAATGGTTTCTGCCATCAATTCCTTGGCCAGTACAAAAAGGGACAGAGAGATAAGAAAAACGATTTACACACAAAAAGGAAAAACAAATCCTCTACTCACAATTTATCTTGCCCCCCCCTCCATTACAAGGTTTGCAAAGAGGCTCCACAAAGACACAAATGAAAATATTTGCCATGGAGTCCAAAAGAAAAGTAGGCTGATCTAGAAGTGGCTCAAAATTTTTTATTTGTGGTGGTGGTGGTGGGGGGGGGGGACTAATTTTGTTAGCTAACTGAAGAACCTTGTGCAATGTCTCTGCAACTGTTGACTCCATTATGGATACTAATAGGTAGCTTCAAAAAGAACAGGAAACTATGCTGACCTATTTGAAAAAAATTCAAAAACCAACAATCTGATGCTACCTTGATTAGGCCTAACCAAAGCACTACAAAATAATAAGCAAGTTTTCAAGTTCTCCAGAAGTCTATCAGGCTGCTTATTAAACAAAAGTGGGGTTAGAGGAGAGAAAGCAGGACAGAAGTCTGCATTGAGGATGCACTTACCTTGGAGTAAGTCCCAGTGAACTCAATGGGGATTACTTCTGAGTAGACATATATAAAAGCACAGTTTTACAATGGTGTAGGGTGAAACAGGAGGCTTGGTGTAATCCTATGCATGTTTACTCAGAAGTAAATTTCACTGTGTTCAATGGGGCTTTCTCCCAGGTAAGTGCATAAAGGATCCCAACCTATATTAAAACAGGTTTTAGTAGATGCTTATGCAGATCTCAAGTTGCATTGAGATCTGGGGGGACAAAGGAACAAATGATAGCTGATCCCCATATTTAAAAGGACCAGCATCCACTAGTTACTTATATCCAGCCCTAAATGAAATGCACAGGTCTCTTGCAAGAAAGAGAACATTAAAAAAACGAGAAACACAGCAGTTTTCATATTAGCAAAGCTTGACATTCATTTCAGGTGACATCTTCAGTAACAAAAAGTAATCCTCAGTATATATGTAAAAAGTGATCCTGTATACCAGGGCAAAATACAGCTGTAAAAGAAGCTGCTGATCCAATGTGTGGTTCCATCTCATCTAGGCAACCCAAAAAATTAAAAAGCATTATCATAAGGTTTGGCTTATAGGAGGATCCACCTAATCTGAAAATATGTTAAACCTGCAAGCAGGGAATGAAGATGACTGTTGCTTGTCCCACCAAGTAATTCAGAGCCAGGCTCTCTCAGAACATGGAAGATCCATTTAGCTACAATACCTAATAGCCATTAATCAGTCTTTTCCACCATGAGTTTCTCTGTTCCTTAAAAGCCACCTACTCCAGTGCCATCATCACATATTGGAATAGTGAATTATATAATTTCAATATGTGGAGAAACCCATCCATTTCTTTCCCTCCCATTCATAATATTATAAACCTCTATCATTACACACAACCAATTTTTATCTCTTAAACCAAGGTGGGGGAACTTGTGGCCCTTTCCGAAGTTGATGAACTTCAGCTCACATCAGCTGCTCTAAACCACTGGATGAAACCATATTGCATCAAAGGTTAACTCCCAAAGTAAGCCCCTTGAATACCCTTGCCATCTACACCCACAAAAGTACCACACCTCATACTGGTGGTGGCATGGACAAAACAAATCCTTAAAGGACCTTCTGAAACTGCAGCTAAGTATTCCCCCCAAAAGTGACTCAGGTGAGCAACAAGATGGTTTGCTAAAGGGAAATATTGGCAGCGCAGCACAGGTGTCAGGAAGAGTGTGGCACCAAAGGGGGAAGCTTACCGGTAATTTTTTTAGCAAAGCATTTTGCAATCAACTTTACAAAACCTTATAGAGCTTTGATATCCCGATGTAAAAGAGGGCATCCTTTGAATTATAACAATATGCATTCAGGCATCATGTTATCATTTGTGTAACTGTTTAAAGCTCATATTAAGATGCCTGGCTATCGTACTTTCAAGTCTGGTCCCATCTGGATTTTGTGCTGCAACACTGTACCCCCGTGTCCCTGCATGACCTTCCCAACATTACACTCATGGAAATCAAAGCAAAAGGCCTCCCCCACTTCCAACTGGGAGAGGGAAAGTTTTAAACATGTGGAACACTGTATCTCAGCATCTTCTACAACTGCCAATTTCCTGTCGTCATTTTGATCCGTGTTTTGCCGGCGTTCTCTTTTTTTCCTTTTTCTTTTAAAGCTACATTAACACCACCTCACGCCTGGTTAACACAGCAATAATCCCGGCGCGCGCTCCCTCGCCCCTTTCCCCCCTTCTCAAGGCAAATCCCCAAGCGACCCATTTTGAAAAGGAGGTGGGGTGGGGGAATGAAATCAATCTGATATCACTTTACAGCAACCTAACTCTTGAACCCTGAGATCACGGGAAGAAAAGGAACCCAGGAACTGACCCTCCTGGCCTCGAGAAAGAGAGAGAGAGGCCTAGTGCCGTGGGTGGGTAGAAGCAGCAAGGAAGGAAGATCGGGGGTGGGGTGGGGACCAGGCAGGCGGCCTGCATTCAAATCCGGTATACAGCCAGGCACCGAACCGAGTCAAGAGCCAATGGGGGGGGGGGATTTCCTCCTCAGTAAAGAGTAGAGAGAACGTGAGAAACTAGCTGCCCCCTCTTTTTTAGATAGGGGGGCAGATCTCCCCGTCCACATAGCCCGGTTTGCTCCGGATCAGCTCAGCCCACGAGGCCTGCAGCAGTTCCCAAACTTCGCGCGCGTGCAAACTCCACCCCGGCTGCGTCCAGCCTGGAAGGCCCACGCCAAGGCGGCGCCCTAGGCCCCAGGCCGGGGTCGCCCGGGCTCAGCCCTCCTCGGGCCCGCCCCCCCCAGCCGCTCAGGACCAAGGCAGCCCCGCTTCCCTGCCGCCGCCCCCCCCACCAAACCCCTTACCTGATGCACGAAAACATCCACCGGGCTTTCGAGGGCGATGCCTTCCTTGGTGGTCATGGAGAGGAAGCCGAAGCCCATCCGCACGTTGAACCACTTACAGATCCCGGCGCCATGCAGGAGCGGCTGGCTCTCCTCGTCCGGCCGGGGCGAGTCCCCCGTGGGCTCTTCCTCGCCCGCCTTGGCGCAGCCACCTGGAAACATACGCGCCGAGGATCATCAGCCGGAGTCCAGCCAAAGGAGGGGGGGTCCCCCTCCCCGCTCCTCCCAAGGGCCAGCGGGTGCGCAACAGAGGGAGCGCGGGACCTCCGGGGGCCACCCAGGGTTGGGACGCCCGAGAGGGGGCTCACCTCCCGGCCGGCCCCCCAGCCCCCCGCGGGAAACGCCATCGTCGTCCTCGGAGAGCTCCAGCCTCGGAGAGCGCGCAGAAGGCTAGGCAGGAAGCCATGCAGAGAGCAGCCTCGGCTCTGGGGTTATTTGGCCGGGGGGGGGAGAAGGAGGACTAAAGCGCAAGTCTTCATCCATGGAAGATCAGGAAGGGCAGGATTCAAAACATATTAGTGGGGGAGGGATACCAAGAACTCGCTCCCTCTTCCAAATTCCGTAGGGTGCCCAAAAAAGAAAACGCAGCTCCAAAACATCGAAGAAATCGGTGTATTCCAAATCTATGCCATCCCGGGTTGCGGGGTGGATCCCACACTATTTTCACAGGATGGGGGGAGGGAGTAAAAGTAAACTAGTGGATGGGACAGTGTGACACCACTAGTCCATTTTCAAACTATTCTAAAGCATTCGAGGTGTATGTATGGACATTGATTATATGGAAATATTATACACTGGGAAGAATACTCTGGGAAGCGAAGTGTTGGTCTGTCGAAACCATTTGGAAATATATACGCTTCTTTAAGCGTATAGATATATACTGTAGTTCCTCTTTAAAAGCAAAGCACAAAATCACAACTCGTGCAATTCAACGCATGTCTACTCTGAAGAAACCTCGCCGCGTTTAATGGGACCTGCTCCCAAGAAAACGTTGCCTAAGTTTGTAGCTGCCTAGATACACCCAAAAAGTTTCCAAAATTCCGCCCTCCCCAATTCTTATAAAGAAAAAGCACATGGTGAAGCAAGAAAGTGACTCAACCGACCGCTCGCTCAAAAATTAACATTTTTGAAAGAATATGTGAAAGCATCAACGCAAATCTTTCCTTTTAAAAATGAAGAGGATTGATTGAAAACAGCTGTAAAACTATTCCTAAAATGAGAAGAGGTGAGGGAAAGCTCTTCAGAGCACACCGCTGATTTTCAAAACAGGGATGGAGGGGCAGAGATAAGAGAGAAAAAGAGGGAAAAGAAGGAAAGAGTCTTCCTTGAGCGGGGGGGTGGGGGGAGAGAGAGAGAAGGGAAAGGAAGAATTGGGTATGAAATTTTCACTTAACCTGCAAACTGCTGGTTAGAAACAGACCCCATTCTGCACCCCCGGTGGAAATGGTGGACTCTGGCTGGAGCAGCCTCCCCTCCTCTCTGCCAGCCCGTCTTTGGAGAGGGTGTCAGAGCAGCTCAGCAGCTCCCAAAAAAAGAGAGGGGGGAGAAAGGGAGGAGGGGGTGGTGGAAGATTCAAAACAAGCGGAGGGAAGGCGAGAGAAAGGTTTGCTACATCTTCACTGCAACAATAGCAGTGGGAGGGCCCAGGGCCTGCTAAAGCTTCCCAAATTTCTAAGAGACAATAGAATTCCCCTAACGCCAAACCTTGCGCGCTTTCCCCCTCCCCCCGCGGGCCTTCCCTCCCTCCCCCCTGCCTCCTCCCCCCGCCCACCTCGCCGCAATATAAGCGCTCTTCTCCCTTCCTAGGAGACAAAAAAATGTACCCTCCTGCCATCCTGCAAGCTAGGGAGTGGATCTTGCTTCGTGTCCATGCTTTTTCTTTCTTTTATGAAATTCAGTTTTCTCCTTCCACGCTTTTTAAAATCTCGTTGGTTGGAGAGATCTCAAGAACCCGGAGGGATCTCATCCCTGGGATACCTTTCGCCATATGCAGTTTTCACACATGGCTCATTCATTCATTCATTCATTCATTCATATTTCTCTCTCTCTCTCTCTCTCTCTCTCTCTCTCTCTCTCTCACACACACACACACACACACACACACAGCTTTCCCACGTGATACACAATCACACACACCACACTAGTAATTATACATTCCAAGCGAGATTTTATTTTTTTTCCAAAGTGGAGGCAGCAGATTGTGCGAATGTGAAACTTCATTGATGGGTAGATTACCTGTCAAGAGGAAAGAAACAAGATCTACTATCTTGGCTTCTCTTTGCCAGCACGCGCGCGCGCGCGCGCACACACACACACTATTAGCTTATATTATTGACCCTCCCCACCCCATGTTCGCCTGCCTAGCAAGTTGGCCTGCGACAAGACCCGCTTGACTCGAAGTGACCTGTTTAAAAGGAGAGCTGCCCCCTCCCTCCCTCCCTCTCCCCGCTCATTCCATTTTGGCATGTTAAGCCTCTTCCCTAAACTATCCCTTTCCGCTCCCATCCGCAGCTACTCCTGGGATCTCCCTTGGCTAGCTTTGGGAATGCGAGGAGGGGGGTGAAGAGGGCGGTTTGGTTGGTTCCTTACCTTCCCCACCATCTCTAGTCAATGACTCGAGGGTGGGAGGGAGAGAGAGAGAGAGAGAAAGAGATCGGATCTCAAATTGGAATTTATGAGTCCTTTATCTTTCTCTTCCCCAGTTTGGTGAGCTCAGAAGGTTACCAATTTATCCCGGTGCAATTCTAAAAAGATAAAAGTTTGCCTTTGGAGCGGGCAGCGGCAGAAGAAAAAGCAGATTATTTGGGGTACAAATACATTTTCAATTAATTGAACTTAATGCATTTTTTTTCAATTTGCTGTTTCTTTAAAGAAACATGCCGGAAAGGGTGAATCGCAAGCCAAACGTGTTTTTTTTTTAGTGTGGGGAGCCTTTGTTTGCTTTAAAAATGAGCATTATCATGAGAAGTTCGATTCCCAGCTTATCTTTAATGAAAGAAAAATAATTGTCCTAAATTGTTTTTTCCCCCCGGTTGCAAAATCGAATTCCACCACAAAAGGTGCAATTTTTTTTTTTAAAAAAAGCTAGAAATTCTTGTTTACATGGCGTTAATAAAGCCTCTATCATCAGGAATGGGAAGGTCGGCTATTTTGAGGGAGAGGGGCTCAAATAAATCCAGCAAGATATTTGGATGTGGAAGACAACTTCGTCTTTTTCCTGAAATTTTCCCCCATAAGGGAAACAAAATAATATATATATAGATATTAAGTAGCAATATCACCAACATCCCAAGGTGATGGCTTTTTAAAAGAAAACCAGGCAGAGAATAATACGGAGCGGGGAAACCCCTACCTCCACATTACAGTTAATTAGAATACTTTCATAAACGCAGCAACGAAATGAAATGAAATAAGATATTCAGGGTCGCTTTTACACGCACCAAAAAACAAAAATTAAAAAAATTGAGATACTATGCAGCTAACAAAATAGGTTCACCTCAAAATAATACGTTTTGTTTAAAAGGCACAAACCGGTTTTAATACAATAGTTGTGCTGGTGGGGAGAGTTATGAGGACCTGGAGATTTTCTCATCCTTCATACAACATGCACCTCACACAACACACACACCTCTACAAACACCCGTTTCTGAATGTATCCCGATGATGTCTATATTACCCCCCGGGAACAGAAGGGCTGATTGATTGGGGCGGGGGCGGGGCCCGAAGGCTGCTTAAAAGACAATCAGAGAAAATGAGAGGCGATCGATGCGCACAAAGTGCTGATGGATAGTGATGGGGGGGGGCTGGAAATGGGGGGGGGGGCTTCACAGGGAAAAAACCGGATGGGGGCGGAAACCCACCTCTCCTCTTATCTATATTGAGCTGGTGAGCCCCTCCCCTGCACTGCCTCTCTCCCTCCCATCCCTAATTGAGGAAGGGGACCTCGCCTTGGCCCGCCTCGGCTCTCTGCGATTTGGAGTGGGTCTGCTCCCCCCACCCCCGCGGCCTTTTCCCCCACCCTGCGGCTCGCTGATATTTGTCAATTCCATATTTTCAGCGGAAATGGCCTATTTGGCTCCTCTGGAGGGCCGGGGGGTGTCGGCGGCTGAGGATTCCCCATCCCCATCTTGAGGGCTCCGCGGGGCAAGCGGGCTTGGCGATGGGGCGGGGAGGTCACGCCTGACCCCAGGATGCTGCATCTGATCATTGGGGGGGGGGCAGCAGGAGCGGGAAGGACGAGAGCTCCGTTTCTCCAACGCCACCCCTCCCCCTCCCTTTTTGGGGGAGAGATTTCACGGCTGGCCGAGGACAATGGCCGAATGACCAGTGCGATCTCGGGAGGCAAATAGCCCCTCCATTTCCGGTGCTCAGTTCAAACTGGACAATACCAGCCAGCTATTCCCCTGGAGCAAAGCGGAGCCCTGTTAAAGGGGCAGCGGCTGTGGCAGCTCCAGCAGGAGCACACGCGTGCACAAGCGTGCACACGACCACCAGCACCTTCCACTAGCCCTTTTGCCTCTCCACACGCGTAAGCCTTCTCTTTGCCGCATCTCTGGGCTCCGGAATAGATTTAATCCCGAGGCCACAAGGGCCCCTCCAGGACGAAGAAGTAAGATCCGTGTTTGCCAATGTGGATGGGTCCCTTCACACATTACGTTTCAGAGCACAGGCCTATCGGGTGTTTGTTTAAGGGCGCCCCCGATGCCGTCGGTGCAAACGCGTGCGTGGCAAAGGGAGTTAGGACCTGATGCTGCGAGGCTGAAATGGCGCCGAAGGTGGGGGAAGGATTAAGGGGTTGTCACGGATGCTACAAGGACGGATGCCACAAGGAGTGGCCAGTGTGGAGGTCAGTGTCCGTCATCCAATCCCCAATTGGAGAGACACACCATGAAAGCGTACAAACGCTATAATAAAGAGATGGAGGCCTCTGAAAAATGTAGGGCTGGCAACATCAAACAGATCTTGACTTTTTCTTTATGAGCATCTCTCGGGGGAAAAACAACAAGGTCTAACAGGAGACAGCTATCAGTTCTGCTCAGTGGTGTCCAAACTTTTTTCAAAGAGGGCCAGATTTGATAAAGTGAAGGGCCGTGAGGGCCGGCCAAAGTAGTTGAGCTTTTTTTAGGATTGAAGAGGCCGGATTAGGCCGCCGAAACGGACTTTGGACATGCCTGATTGTCTCTGGCCTAATCCTACTCTCTTTATATGCCTGCAAATGAAATCAAGGGTTAAGTTTAGGAACTGACAATCGCGCAAGACCCATCTATTTCCCCTTCGGAGCAGGGGAATTCTGAATATACGGATAGTCTTCTTGTAATCTGTAAAAAACACCAAAAAAACCTTTTCCCCACAAATACTCTTTCAGAATTCTGTGTGGCGGGACGGGGGGCTTTAAAAAAATAAACTTTTTTTAAAAAATCCCTAATGGCTATACCTGGAAATCAAACTGTTTTGTATTGGCATAGTTAAAAGAGGTGATTTGAGGAGCTTTCAAAGGGTGGTTTAAAAAAACTGAACCAAATCTCCCTCGTGCAATTAATATGGGGGGAAGGAGTGAATATGCGGGAGCAAAACTTTAAAGTTTTCCTCTTGTCCGAGGGAGTTTAGGGGATGTACAGCTGAACGGCAACAACATTCTCATCGCTTCTCCATCAAATATAAACGTAGGACTCTCGGGCTTTCCCTATACAGTAGTTGTCTGTGTCAGTGGACATCTTGGTGAAACGTGCACGAGCTGGCTGCTTTTCAGCCCTGGGGAAAAAAGGCAGACCGACGGTGCAATTCTTTGCTCGTTTCCTTGGATTAAGCCCAGGAGGACCCGCACGGGATAGGGGCGGCCAGAGGCAGATTAAAGAGAAGGATATTAGGTCCCCTAATTAGGAAGGTTCGTTTTCAGAATAACGTATTCACTGAAATTAGCACCATCCCACCGTTTTCTACAGACGAAACCTATCCGTCCTTGCAAAGAGGAGTCTTTTGTCAGTTCAGTATCCAGCAGGAATAGCCTGTCTTCCTGCACCCCGTCAAGCGCCTGGACCCACTTACTTTGGAGTAAGTCCCATCATCAATACAAATCAATACAGATGTGAGGTTCTGCCCCCCCAAAAGCCTGTCCCCCCCCCAACAAAATCCTGGCTATGCCCATGAGTGCCATGGAACTCAAGGGAGCTTACTTCTGAGCAGACATGAATGGGGCTGCACTGCAAGAGAAAACTGAAAGAGGCCCGTTGATCAGGGCTGCAGCCACGTTATCTTCGCGGGATTACTTGTCATACATCTCTCGACATTTCCCAGAGAGTGGACAGTCTGACAAAGTGTGGGGGAATTTATTAATTTGTTTAAAAAGTAAAGACAGATAAGTTTTCTCCCTGAGCCATATTTAACATAACTGGAGTGTAATCAGGTAAGTCAGTTAATATTGGAAAGTGATTTAAATTGCACTTGTCTCCAGAATGTCCAGCCACTTTGTATGGCACATCCCTGACTCTATACTCCTTTTCCCTAGATCAGGCGGAGTGTATGTCTCCTTCTCTGTGTGTATCAGTAAACAGTGTCACATTCTGAGAAACTCTGAAGGAAGAGAAAGGTTATATTAAAGAACAGCGCGGAGCTGCATGCTCTGTCCAAGGTGCTGATCTGCGCCGCTCAATGCCGCTCTGTAACTC